TCTTTGATTTAAACCAATCTAATGGATGTATGACGATTCTACGATATCTTTCAGAAATGAATATAGATTAATTATAAAATGATGTAAATGAACAATACAAATTTCATATAAAGTACCAATAACTGCGTGATCTCAAGAGTATTCTGAACGTTCATCAGTGTAGTTTATATTTAAAGTAATGTTGAAAAATAAATTCTATAACCCTATTTTTTCACCGGGCAAAAAAATGGAAACAATAAATTCGTGAAACGGTAGAAAACGAGGTGAAAACCAGCTGATTTCGTTATTTTTGGTTTATTATTTTCAATAATAAACAATTGCATTCGACTAAAAAATTCAAAAACTTGACCTCCGTAAAAAATTGAGGTTTTACGTTTCAGGATGCGTAAAACACGAAAAACGGGCAATTTTGTTTTTTGTCCATCCACCATCTGCGCATTTTCTCCAAAGTTAGTACCAATTTTTTCAAATTTAGATTTAAAGTCAGAGGTCTCCCGAGGATGATCCTCCTACTTCGACATTACTATCTGCCTTTTCTTTTCAAGATGAAGGCCGAAAAACCTTTGTTGCTATAGACTGTAGTGCCTACTTGAAATGTACCGATTTGAATGAAACTTGGCTAAAGCATTCTTCTCGATTCTCTTTAAATTTATCTATATAACATACCTCAACGAAAAGAAGTTACGAGGGTTGGTAAAATTAGATTTCCGACTAACTGAAAAATTACACACTTTTTTTGTGGAAATGATAGAGTTATTTAAAAGTTAAAATGATCGTTAAAATCGAACAATTTTTACTCAAAAATATTGTCTCTAGATATTGTTTATACGTTCTACTGCAAAACTTATATCATTTGTTTTGGTTTCGATTTTTTAATGTGTTGTTAAAGTAATGCTATTTTTTTAGCAAATTACTAATGATCAAAAAAAAAATGCAGGACAATAATCGGAATCAAGCCAAATTTTGTTTCTTTTTCTTTATTACTAGTAAGGTAATGTTACTTTAGATGTATAATTGTTTGAAAATAATGAACCATTGTGAAATAATTTGCAGTGTTTTTACTACAGAAGCTAAGGTAATAAGTGAATCGATGTAATATATTTTGCATGCTAGCGTTAAAATAATTATCACGATAAAGTATCGAGATAAATTTAAGAAGGAATAATTTATGGTTATACCTGTCTTAATTTACTTTTGGAAATATGCCTGAAAATATAAATAATGCTACGTTGAACAAATGCTGCTTGTAAATTAAAACTTGGGATTAATGAATAATAAATTATTATATATGAACGGAGTGAGGCCGATCCAGGTGCATTAAAAGATATAAATCTAAATTAGCAGAATTTCAATTCTCTCCCTACACGTTTATTATCCAGATGGCCTCTTCTCATAACTTTAATTTCCCAATTCTTTCGAACCATAAAGTTTATACAGCTTGTGAATTTGTTTTGTATATTTTACAGGTTTTCATTAACACTATATGAAATATCTTTATAGTAATATAAAATTAATAATAATAAATCATTGTTTAAGAGCTAAAAACTGTTATTGAACTAAATATCGTATTTTCTTTTATTTCTTTATGTTTAATAATGTTTATTAATAATATAATTTCATAATGTTTATTTCATTCATTATTCTTATTTCAGTAGTTCTCATATTAGTTTATTTTAATTAATAGGTGCTCATATTGTTATCTGGTCTTTTCTTAGCCCTGATGAAGGTCTGAACTTTATGCCGGCAAATATAAAAATAAATATAATTTATTTATATTTAAATTATTTTTTACTGAACACCCTAACAAACTTATTTTCAATAAAGATCGAACATTTGTCTGTCGTTTGAAAAATAACATATTCGGAATTCCAGTATGATCTGAGAAAATTTTAGATATCATTTCTACCAGATTTCTTTTTTAACAAGTTGTTATCGCCGCATACACTCATATTTTTTTTTATTTTTATTTTTTCTCACAGTTTTTCCCTTTTAAATGTTAGTAATTAAAGGTTTATTTTATTTTTTTATTTTTTTTTTTTTTTGTAAAAAACTGAGGGACAATTGTCCCAGAATTGTACGTTGTATATACATTTAGCTTCATTATCTCGTTTATGTATGCGCTCCAGCCCGGCAGTATTACCCAGTCTTAGAGATTAAGAGACAAATACTGCGATAAAACTGCCGAGACGCTGTCTAAAGTCAGTCTTGAGCGAGCGTTCAGAGACTCAGGGATGTGTATTTGTTCATGAGAAACCCCCCACCCCGCCAGCCGCTTCTGTTTCGTCTCATCTGGCGCCATTTTCTGATGGTAACTATTCAGAATTCGGCAGTCAGCTGTATCGATACATCTAACTCATCGATACCACCCACCATCGACAGTTGAACAGCCAGGTAACCTTGGGAGTACCTTTCACTAGTATTTTTTTTTCATCTCTCCGCCGTTATAAAGACAGTGAACATTAACTTAACGTTGTCATTCTACTAATTAATTTAGTGTTGGACACTCGATTGTATTTTAGGTTATATTTTTTTATCTCTGGTTTTTTACTCTAATTTAAAAGTTTATTTTTGTTTATATTTTTAATGGACAATTTTTTAAATTTTTTAATAGGATATTGTATTTTTTTTCAGAACTTTATACCAATGTTTATTTAACTTTTATATATATTTAGATTTTTTTATTCAATATATATTATAAACATTTAGGAGAGGATTTTTTATTTGTTTATCTAAACATCTTTTATTAATTAAATAGTCTTATTTGGTATTATTTTGTGTATGTTTTTTTTTTTCTTTCTTTAATGTTTAGAGGTCTTATTCATACCTTCGTTCCCTTCGTTCTTTCTTTGTTTAATTTTCCCTACCTTTGAGGAAACTCGCCGGAGAAAGATTTGTACTTCGATTTTGAAGTACCCCTGACCCCAACACAAGTGATTTATAGATTTTCAATAAATATTTTTATACTATAAATTTGCAACTTTGTTTTTTTAATAAATGTATTTATTCGAAATGAGTGTCGCATTAAGAAATGACAAGAAGGTAATAATGTGAATAAATATTGTCATCATCATCATCATCATAATAATATTTTCGCTCTCTAATGCTGCTCAGTCGGAAGATGCCCTCTATAGAGCATGGCCCAAGTGTTCCTGTACCAATTCTCTTATCCTGTTCCAATCCAGCCCTTAGCGCTAACCGTACGCTTTATTCACAGTTGATCCGTGTTATTCCTCTAAGTCTTGTACCGTACACTCCTGCCCCATAAATTATCCTGGCCGTTCCTTCCATGAGTTGCCCAAACCATCCAAGTATATTTTCTTTTAGAGTGGTTTCTACCGGCTATACCTCGAGGTTTGATCATATTGTTGTGTCGCGGATCTTATCTCTCCTGATCTTTCCGCAACCTTTCTTGGGTATCTCATCTCCTCTGTCTGCATCTCCCCCTTGTGTTTTGTGGGTCCATGCTTTGGAGGAGAGATGGGCAGGATGGGCAGGAACGTTGACTTGTTGACTGATAGCTTTGTCTTCTTCGTCACCTCTGTTTTGTTGAAGAAACTTCTCCGAATTGAGTGGAACATTGCAGCTGCTCTCAGTCTTTGAAATACCTCTACATCGATATAGCCACTTTCTTTAATGCAGGCAATAAATATTGTATTCATGTTAGGTCACGTTCAATAAATACATATTTATAACGTTGCATTTCATTATGTTTTTATGTTAAGAATAAAACGCAAGTAATCAAAAACAGGAGAAAAAAAGTATATTTCAATGACAATGTATAGGTAATAATATCAATGAACACCGTCTTAAGTAATTAGGTTTAATTATGATGAATAAGCTATTCTATATTAAATTAATAAATAATGAAAGTAATGAATAATAATATAACACAAAAAAGAAACTCTTTTTTTTTTGCTTTGATAGAGTTTCTTTCTTTCCCCTGACTTTGTTTACAATATGTAATAAAATAAGAATAACATAATTAGCCGAAGAAACCTAAACGAAGTCTTAAATTACAAACAAGTTTTATTACTTTTCCGAATAGCATGATATAAATGTAATCTTTAAGCCTTTTTGTACCCTCAATCCTTTGTCTGCTAAGTGCGAAAGGGACGTTCTCTTGTAAAGAAAATCCCTGGCGTTTTCCCTTTAACGGCTTAGTAAATCCTCGGTGTGGAGTCACATAAAAGATATTTGTGGTGATACAAAGGGGTCTTTTGATATTGTATTCCGAGTGTGAGAGCTCTTCCAGCTTTATAATGGTCTCAACGAGTGGCAATACAAAAAATAATGAGCATTAATCCACTCTTCCTTTTTTTTTATTCATTATCTGACATAATTTTATAGAGCCATACAATTTACGTTTCACATAAAATATGGCTTCATGGCTAATTGAGTTGAAAAATTATTTGATTTTTTTCATATTTCTCTCAGTCTAGAGATTCTTTTTATTAGGAAAATTGTCACACATAAAACAGCCTTCTTCCCTCTCTCTTTCCCTCTCTCTTTCTCTTTTTTTCCCCTTATTTTTATCCTTCTTTCCTCCCGTTGTATCTTAAGTATACCAGCAATTCATCCAATTGTCTTAAATAATATATTTAAAAAATAATTTAATAACTCAATCACCAGGCTTGGTAACCAAACGAGCTAGCCAGCACCCACATTTTTTTTTTTTTTTTTGTTTTAAGCTGTCTTCGTATTGGTTTTGGTCATGGTTTGTTCAATACCAATTTTGGGCAACGCTATTATTCAAGCGGTATATAAAAATTCTAAAAATAGTAAGATTAATACTTTCAAGTTTATTTTTCTCCTTTTGTTCCTATTGAAAGTTATAAAAAATGATGGTTTTTAATCTTTTTTTGTGAAGGTACGAATCATAATTTTATACACATATTTTAACATACTACAAACCCGCAAATAATTTCTTCCAGGAGGTCGCAGTTCCCCTAATGTTTAAGTCCCACAAGTAAAATTGAAAAGAAAGCGGTGATGGAGGTGGCTCAAAGGGTCTCAGCTGACACGTGTATTCTCTCCTCGCTGGCTCTAGCTGAATAGGAAAAACGTCGTGATGAATAGCCGATGTCTTCAGGACCGTCTGCAACTCGTTTGCAACCTTTTAAACTGTTCTCGGAAGTTCCTACTGAAGAATTCACTCGTGTAAAGAAGACGGATTCCTACGTATTTTGAATTTCAGGTCAGTTTTTCTTTATTATTTTCAATAAGGAACCATTATAATCGACCAAAAAATATCAAAATGTGAGATTTTCATATTTATATTTCACGATACATATAATAAGAAAATGCAATAAAAAAAAGTTTTGTCTATCCGCCTTCCGCAGTTTGTCTCCAAAACAATTTCATCCATTGTTTTGAAATTTGTTATCAAAATGTCTCTTCCCTCTCATTTGATTTTTCAATGTACGTAGAATACAAAAATCCAATAAAAACAATTGTTTTCTGTCAACCATCTGCAATCTTGATTTTGTAATAAGATTACCTAAACAACGAGTGTTGGGGCCAGTGGTATTTCAAAATTAAAATACAAATCTTTCCCCGGTGAGTTTCCTCAAAGATGGGGAAAATTGGAGTAAAATTAAATGGTGGGAAAGAAGGGAAAAAAATAATAGAAATGAGACCTGTAAAATATGAAAAATGCATGCACATCAAAATATTATAAAATTACTGATTAATTAAATATGTTAAGATAAACAAATAAAAAAATCCCCTTCTAAATGTTTACAATACTTATTTAATCGAAATAAAGCAATGAAATATATACATACAAGATTTAAAACATAAAGAAAATAACTATTTAATGAGAATACAATGAGAAATAAAAAAAAATTCTCCATCAAAATAAAACATATATAAAAATAAACTTCCAAAATTAAAGAAAAAAATCATCCAGTAAAAATAAATCCAAGAAAAAAGAATAATTTAGTGAAGAAAAATATTAACTAAATTAAAAATATTTTACAAAAAAATAAATAAATAAACCTTTTATTTAACTAACATTAAAAAAAGGGATAGTGAGAAAAAAAAAATTAAAAATTACAGATATGTGTGTATGCGGCTTTAACAACGAGAAAACGTCATCGGAATAGGACAACTTAGTCCAGGGCTGATCACTTTTCTGCAGTGATGGATTTCGAATAAAGAAGAGTCATAGAAATGGAATTCCACAGAAATGAAACAAATGAATACCTATTGGAGAAGTACATTTGACCTCATTTTAAAAAATATATAATATTTTTACAAGCAGAACTTTATGCTATCCAAAGTTTATCCTATACGTTTTCTCTCATAAAAACTCTTTATTAAAGTGCAGGGTCTCCTATATTAATATTTTTTCAGTTTTCGCAAAAGTCGTAGGATGTTGACTGTGATTTTTGGCCAAACTACTTGACTATATTATAAAGTTTAGGTACCCATTCGACACAGAATTTAATTCGCTTTAATTTTTACAATAATCAGGAGTTGAAGGAGAAAAATAGGTCCTAAAATTTATTCATAGCTGGCTCATGTTAGTATTTTTGTTTTTTACATATATGCACACATAAACACAAGTTAAAAAATTAAAATTCTACCATATTTTTCAACAGACCTGATATTTATTAAATCTGCTGCCACTTTTTAAATCAACAATTTTGTAGTGGTAGACAAGGTTCATTTTACTTAAATATACAGTCCGTGGTACAGACCCCTTTTTATCAAATTATTAACATCTGGCTGAAAATTTGTAAACAGCTTCATTCATCGTAATATTTTATTTACGAAAATTCTCGGAATTCTCGCGTTTTCAATATGAAGGTCGGCTAAAAACTAAAAACTCGTAAATAACCATTTGCTTTCCACTTTAATCGTTAGTTAACTAGAGCACAAAGTCGAAAAAAAGGTGGCCTTAAAAAATATTGAGCCGTTTGACCTATATAATCTCGTAATTTTGACAATTTGGACTAACCACGCCAAACGATTCAATATTTTTTAAGGCCTCCTTTTTTCTCGACTTTGTGGTCATGTTATGTTATGATTAAAGTGGAAAGCAAATGGGTACTTACGAGTTTTTAGTATCTAATTAAATAGACAAAGTTTTCTGACCTCTAGATTGAAACGCCCCAATTCCGAGAATGTTCGTAAATAAAATATTCGTAGGTTACGGTGAGATGAAGCTATTTACGAAGTTTCAGCCAGATGTTAATAATTTGATGAAAAGGGGTCTGTACCACGGCCTAGTACACTTTCACATTAAAACCTTTTCCTGCAATGAATACTCTAATTTGCTCATAGCTGTACAGAGCAAAAAAAATTACATAAAAAATAGAAAATACAAAATACTTAAAAAAAATGTATGAATCAACTGAAATAAAGCTTGCATAATTTATCACCTACCTGACGATTATCTTTTATAAATTGTATCTCCTAGTAGATTAAATAGGCCGAGAGAAGTACTTGGTTTAAAATAAAAATATCTTCTCTGTTATTTAATATACTATTTTGAATCTCACCTAGGTCAAGTTGATTTAAAAGATCACGAGGATAGGTTTTAAAGATAGGAGGTGTATAGCATTTTCGTCTTAAAGTCATAAAGAGTATTAAAACATTAAATCAATAATTCATAAATATTTATTTTAATCATACAGAGTATATTTTTTTATAAATATTACTTGATTTTCTGAAATCCATAAATTAATTTATTTTTCTGTTTTAACAAAATTAAGCTTCCTTTTCTCGATGATGAACCTATTGAACAGAAATATTACTTCGTATATAACCCACGTCCTACATGCGTATGGCTCACGTGTTGGCTCTTTAATAATGGAAGACAACTTTATAACCCAGAACCTATTCGAAATAAGTATTATTTTTTATTCAAACGCAAATACTCCTCTACCTCATCTGTGGCCCGTGAGTGGTTCATTGGCTCTGAAAGGAACGAGCATTACCAATTTAAATTCATCCTCGATTCTAGGAAAATAGATGGCGAATATTTTTATTAGAGGCCGCAGTAAGGTTAGGCAGCGCTAATGAAGGCCGCAATAATTCTTTATATTTTATCGTTACTATTTATATTACTAAATACACACATTTACATGCATATGTTCAACTTGATTCTATTAATTTTAAAATTTTATTGTACTTAAATAAATAAATATTAATTAATTCCAGCACTAGTTTAATAAATACAGCGAAAACACTTTTGGAGGCCACTACATGCGCCCTTCAAATATTACTACTCCATATATATAAATCTAGTCCTACAATTAACTATTATTTAATTATTTAAATATTGATAAAATTAAGTTGAATTTATTGAATATTGAATAGTTGACCCTTGCATTATAAAGGAAGGAGATGGTCCGAGGTGGCGGTCATAAATAGGCTAAATAGCCGCAAAACTATTTTATTAAAAGCCAACGTTTCCACCCGGCTTTGCAGGTCTTCTTCAGTTCAAGAATGGACAAAATACAAAAAGATAAAGAATTATGGAAGTAACATGATATTTATACAAAAAATTATAAACCATGTGAATAAGATTATTAAAATTATAAACAGCGAGTACATTAAAATATAAACAGAATAAGCTAAATAACAAGATCCTAAACTGAAGTAAATACTAAGTTTAGTCAATTTACTTCAGTATTAAGGAAATTTACGTACGTTTAAGTAAATTTAATATTTAGTAAATTTACTTCAGTCTTAAGTAAATTAACTTAAGTTTAGGATCTTGTTACTTAGCTTACTCTGTTTATATTTTAATGTACGTACTGTTTATAATTTTAATAGGCTTATTCACATGGTTTATAATTTTTTGCCTAAATATTATGTAACTTCCACGATTCTCTATCTTTTTGTATCATGTCCGTTCTAGCCCTGAAGAAGACCTGCAAAGCCGGGTCGAAACGTTGGCTTTTAATAAAATAGTTTTGCCACTATTTTTGCCATTATTGCCACTTTAGCATATTTATGGCCTCCATCCCGGACCATCTCCTTTCTTTAAGTTGAATTTATGTGTGTGGGTATATTTAGTGATAAATAAAAACAAAAAATATATATTTTTTTTTTATTTTTGCATGAAACCTCTTCAATTCGCATTTTTAAAGAAATAATGGAACAATTTAAATTCCTAAATCAAGGCGGATAAATCTTTGCTAGATATACAAGGGTATACCCTATTGTTACTTCTCCGTCCAGAAAATAACGTTAAGCTGTTAAGAAAGTAGACGGGAGGATCGCTGTAACTGGAAAAGTTCTAATGAACTACGTGATCCAGCGGGGCTGTAATAAAGAATGATTGGTCATATTGCCGAATAGCTCTCAATATCACATTTCAGGTTCGGATCTCTTTCTTGGTTCAATATAAAGGATCTTTTCAACGTGGTGGCCAATTATTTGAGGAAAAATTTACTTTTCTTCTACATTTACAAACGTACGTTAAACTAAACCAATCGAAACATTGTTACTAACATATTATTAATTTCAGGTATGATAATATAAAAAATAGTTCCACCTTTTGAGAAGCGATCAATGTAGATGCATCAATTGAATTATTTATTTGCCTTATTTCTGTCTAAAACTACCGATTTTAAATAGTTCGAGACATGAAATATTTATATAATCGATTTTTTATTGAATAATTCTTCTTTGGTAAGTTTACTTCTTGATTTTCATGGTTTTTATGGATTTCTTTACTATTAATTTTTTATAAAATTGCGATTAAATTAGGCTAATTTTATTTTTAACCATTATTTGTGATCTGGTTATTGCTTTTTTTTACCTTGTTTTGTTGGTGATTTGTTATTATTAATAAATAATGATTAATAATGAGAATCCTGTTGGATATTATGTTTTTACTTTCCTACCTAAAGTAGGTAAGGAAAGTATTGCGATCGGGTCAAATTTTCGATATGCGGTTTTCGACGGATCTATACGTTTCAGAGTCCCCTCTCTGAGTCCGAAAAAACACATTTTAAGAGATTGGTCTGTCTGTCTGTCATTTGAAAGGTAATGTAATTTCCTACAAAACTACATAAAAATCGTTTATTTTGGACAACTATTAACGAAGTTAAAGCTATTCAATTTTCAATGTAAGATTACGGGTTCATATCCTGGTGTCAAAAAGGGGTAAATGATAGAAAAAAGATGACTAAGTGAAAGTAAGGAAATCTGTTGCCCGCATCACACAAGCTTCAATATTTCCTCTACTTCTAACAGAAATTATCGGTGCCGGAGGGGATTTTAAATTTCCCCGGCCTCACCCCCCCGGCCCGGGAAAATCCCGTATAGCCTAAAAAAGGCGAGGTAGAGAGGAACAAAAAAAAAAAAAAAAAAAAAAATTACAGAAATTATTGTTTGACAATACTAAACTATGGAAAAAAGTTTTTGGTCTTTTACTGCAAGATTAGAGAGTATTGAAATTTTTACAATAATCTACCTGAAACCGGTTTACATTGCGTTACATTAAATAAATCGTACTCAAATCTTTTCTTTGATCAATTTTCAGGAAAATAAATCTAATTCATTTTTTTTTTTTTTTTTGTTTCTTCATGGACATATGTAAAGATCTAAAAACTTTTCTGAAATAGGTGGGAAAGTCGTGTGAATGGACACACCAGAATTTTTTTATTAATGCCGTCAAATCTTGTTTTGCAAGATTTGTAGCTATGTTGATTTTTTAATGTGGATAATTGTTATTATACCAATTTAAAATTCTATTGCTAGTAATAGATTTTTTACACCAAGCTGTGCTAGATGCTGGATGCTGGATTGACCTATTACCTTTCTATGTATCATGATGTCTCTATGTAATGTAATGTTAAATATTACAAGAGGGAATCCAATATGAATTTTATTTTCTTAACTAAAATAAAGAAATAAATGAGTGATATTGACTAATGATATGAGATAGGACGTGAAAATGACTCTAATGTTGGCCGATACGTTGTCCTTTAATATATATATATATATATATATATATATATATATATATATATATATATATATATATATATATATATATATATATATATATATCTTGTAAATAAATATAAAATATTCATGTTATAAAGCTGTGGTGATCAAACGGCCATATATTTATGAATAGAAAAAAAAATGATATCAATTTTGGAGAGTAAAATAACAAATGTAACAATGATAGTGGTAGAAATATGCTAGAGAATTAGTTTAAAGGAAAATTCATCACCAGTGTAGTGATATTTTTTCGAAGTGGCTATAAAGCCACAAAAGGAATCCTTAAGTGGGAAATATTTACATAATTCTTTCCTCAACTGGAATAAACCTCACTGGAACTATCTCTATATCTTTCTATCTAAACTAAATTTAAAGAGAACTTTGATCGGTGTAAAACTAAAAATTAACCAGCAATTATTACTTTAAAATTAATCCTTTTTATTTTGAAAACATATAATTAATGGTTTGTAGATTCTAAAGATTCGGCCCTTGAAATTATGAATTATAATTTCCATCGTGAATGCCACGGTGGCCAAGCAGAGACCGATGCCGAGAATGGTAAATGCCGATTCAACATCTCCTATTATGATCGGTCGATTGGTTAAAATTCGATAAACTGCGCGACTTTTGCCTAAAATATCTCTGATCCACTTGTCGCAGAGACCAGACTCAACGCACCTGACGGTTACTGCCCGAATCCGCTTCCTGAAAACACTCCCTTTGGAGAAGACAAGCCCTATCGGCAGTGTGGTGACCGTGTACGGTATGCTGTGTACTCTGTAGCCTTTCTTATTGATGAGGAACGTCATCGCCAGATCACGTTCTAGTAAAGCAAAGTCCTTTCTTTGATCTAACAATTGTGCGCTTTCTTCCAGCCCTGGGCTAGATACGGTATTTGCTAAAGCTTTTCTTACAAGGACAGTCTGAACCTTTCTTGTGATTAGGTCATTCGTTCCCGATATCATCACTGTGATGTTTTTCTTTATAATGTCATCAACAGATTTGATCTCGCAAATTTGGGGTGGGTTCATCGTAAAACTATGCAAATATGTCGTATACGTAAAACTTAGACAATAGAAAGGGAGAACGATACACAATAAAATGATCCTCAGTTTTCCCACAGGAAGTCTCGTTGGTTTTTCTAGTAAAATCTCAAATACTATAAAAAAATAATCTATAATACTTTTTGGTCCGAAGATTGCAAGTGCAGTGACACTAACGCTGATAGTAACTAAAATCACAGACCATAATGATAAAGAAAACATTCCCACTAAACGCTTCCACCCAATAAGTTCCTGGCAGTCAGCAACGTAAAACTGCAGAATTTGTGTACTATGAGAAAATGAGTAGGTGACACGAAAGAAATAATTGAAGGAGAGAACGGACCCTCCTATCGCGAGGTCGATCTCGTTACGAGATACATTTTCATAGTATGCGTGAGCCTCTTGGCCACTTGTCGATGTCTGAGGACTGGGTCTTGACGACCAGGTGATGCTGAGGCCGCTAGTGGAAGCTATCAGTGAAGCAAGATTTACATCAGAGCCGATGTATTTTCCCTCTCTCAAGAAACTAAAGGGGAAACTTTCTCTGGCAGAGACGTGAAAGTTGCACTCAGGGAACTTTACCCTATGATAGTAAGGAAAATAGCTGCAGTTGGAAACATGGACAGAATGCACCTCTTTCCCACATTTATTTTCTTCGCCGAAGGGGTCCGCTCTATAAACGGAGTAGCTGTTATTGATTAACAAAGCAGAGTTATAGACCTGTGAACATAAAATGATTATCAGTCTCTTTTGAGATGGTCTAGTGAGTACTTAAATACTGCAATATGTACATTTAAATATTATCACAAATTCTATGAATGCAAACATATGATTCAACCACATTTAATTGTTTATTGTATAAGCTCATAAAGATTTATTGAATCATATATTTACCGTATACTGCCACAACAATGTGAAAACATCAATGGCTAGTTGAGTCTCTTCGCTGGGCTCGGTGGTTTCGCAAAACATTACGACCGTCCACACGGCTGGATTCCATTGCTTGTGGTTACAAGAAGCATTCTCCAAAAGCTGCCACAGTTCCTGAAGGCTGATGACCATGAAGAGGTAGGCGACGGGAGACTCGGCAGTTCCGTTGATGCAGGAGTTGGATATACTGACCGGCCCTCCGAGCTGGACCAGAGGACACCCGCCCATGCCGATGTGCACATGACCTTGAGGAAGGATGGAGTTTAAGCAGGTTGGCGCCGGTTGTAGGCCTGTCGGAGTGGATGAAGTTAATGAATGAGAAAAAATACTAATTTATACAAATATACTTATTATAAATTTACTGCTTGTATGAAATACTTACTACTGAAATATTAAAGTATTCTCAATAACTATAAAAGTAGAAATGACATGATTTTGCAAAATTAATGAGGTTCTAAACTGTTATAAAAACGTAGATCTATAATAGCCTGAACATTCAGTACATCGAGGAATACAATATCAGGTACCTCATATATCTGATTCAGTTAACTTCAGTAATGATTTATTTTTATAAAAAAAATAAAAATTTTATCAGAATAATTAATTATAATTAATAATTAATATTTTATAGAATAGTTTTGTTGCACCTATAACTGCAATTGTTTGATTTGGATTGTTTCGGTAGTTGACAAGGATGGATTTATGCGAAATAAGGTGCTGTAATTTTTAATTTTTTATTACAAAATAAATAACCAAAATTGTATTAAACTAACTTCTTACGTTTCCCGACTTAAATTTATCGGTAAATGTTGGACACTGTCAAGAACCTGTGTTTGGCAATATGAAAACCTATTACTTTCACTTACCTTATATATGAAATATATACTGAGAAAAATATTGTGATCGTGAAAATCTGACTTTTCAACGGAAATAAACGTTTTGAGGTGCCTTAAGTCTAAATAAGTCCCGCAAAATATTGTGTATGTGTGTACAAGTGTATGTGATCTAGCTCAAAACGCAAAGTCGTATGAAACTGATATTACGAATTTAAGATAGGTATGTGCCTCAGATATGACAGCACCTTTTTCGTTAAAATCGATTTACCGGAAGTGGCACTTTATACCAATGGCCATACACATTTTTTTTTTTTTTAAATGGCTCTAAAGATTTTTATTAAACTCGGTTTATCATTGAATGATTAAGTGGTCTTAATCATTGTTAGACATGTTCAATATGTCTTCCTCAAAAGTAACATTGATTTGGTTTATTTTAAATTATTAACTATCTCTCATTATTTATAGTTACATAAAAATGTTAAATATAACTTTTGAAAGAATTTGATGAAAGAAAATGGAGAAAATGTTATTTCGGTCAAAAATGAATTTCCGGAAATATTAGTCAGAAGGTATACGTATAATATATCGTTGAAAAGCATAGAATTTTAGAAAAATGAATGTCTAATATAGAAAGTAATCTAGAGTGACGAAAAATTATAAATAATAATTTTTGAAACTAATATTATTTAAATCACATGTTTTCTAGGAAATGAAACGAAATTTACTAACTAAATGTAAAGTTTTTTTAGTTTGAAAAAAGTATTTAAAATCCATCTAATCAAGGTAATTTCATTGTTTAAAAAAACATTTCACAGTACTTATGACTTAACATCCGTCATGTAACCTGTAGTTTTTTTTTTTTGGTTCCTCCCCTTCCTCTCCTTTAAGGCTATACGGGGTTTTCCCGGGCCAGGGAGTGAGGGCGGGGATTTCATCGAAGTGATTTAAAAGAAAAAAATAAACCTAAGCTACACTGTCCTTACTGACAAGTGGTTGTTCCTGGGAGACTAAATCGACTGTGAGGGACCTTCCTAATTTTCAGATGAAGGAGAAAATATATGAGCCAAAAACTTATGAAATAGAGGTCTAGGAGATCCTATATTATATTATTATTCCCACTTTTCGAAAAGGATGTCAGTTATTGGTACACTGTTAGCTAAGGGTGATTTTACCCTAAATACTTGGGGTTTTTTCTCATATTTCTTTTAAGCCATACATCTAATATGGTTAATTTATTTCAGTGAAATTAACTTTGTACAGTAATATTAAATTTAGTTCGTTAGTTGTGGGAAACTATTATATATCTGTGGCCCCTGCGAAAAGTGAGTTAAGTGCAATGTTATGAATTTTATGGGTATCACTAGAAAGATAATTTTCTCTATTTCTTTGTGTCTAATGGACTAAATTATGTGACTATTACAGAGATGATTCCATTATGAATCATGGGTTGAAACTCAAAATTTGAACTTGCCCCAGTAAAAAAATAACCAAGTTTCATTGGCGTTTTCACGTGAAAAGTATGACTTTTGCACTTAGCACACTATGTACAGGTGTCGCAGATATTTTATAATGAACGAGTTAATTTTGTTTTTATTAATAATTGTCCTAAATTGTGGTAAATTGTAATATTTATCAATAAAAAAAATAATTTAGAAAAAATAATCATCGGTCTTCTAACTGCATCCAACTAATAAATACTTTGGATTGAGAATTAAGTAAAAGATGTTTTGATATATTTCATGCAAAAGGGACATTATTTTTTGAATCTCGGGCCTTAGTCGAGCAAAAAATATTCTTCACTTATATTGTTTGTTTTTTCCTCACAACTGGCCCATCATGCCTCGATTTTCATAATGAACTTTTATTCAAAACAGCTCATTAATTAAGAGAAACTTGAATCTTTTAGATATAATGAATCAAAAATTATTTTTAAATTCACTTATTTGTATAGGAACCTTGAGGAGGAACCTTGAAACGTGTTATGTGAGCTATCTAATTTTACTTTTTCGTCGAATGTTGGCTACGTAGCCATGATCTCTGGTAGTTGAGGGAATGAATTTAAGCAGTTTTAATTAATCCTTCATAAGCAAAACAACCTCGTTTCATGGGATGTAAATTGGGTGGCCGAAAATCGGTTTTGGCAAATTGAACATGGAGGATAATGACGGAATCCAACAGGCAAGCATAACCGAAAGCGGAGTTACACTTGGGATCGAATTAGAAAGCAGTTTAGTTAGTATTAACTGAATTCCGACCGAGGCTAGCTGGGTACTCTTTGATTAGCCTACTTCAATTAGGAAAGTTCTCGGGACATAGCCTACTAATCCAATGGCTGACTGATATTCCTCCCATCTTGTGTTATCGAGGGGCTATCCAATTAGAAGGTGCGGCAGCCACAGAGGTGTGATAGGATCAGCAATACCCTCCAATAAATCCTCTCCTGTCAGCCGTATCGAAAACTCTGATTTATGGTATCTCCAACAAAACCCCTAATCAGTAAAGTTCATTGATTTCTTACTACAATGCCTCCGATACTAATTAATTAAAGGAACATTTCTATTAGTGCTAGCATTCCGACAGCGAGGTTCTAAAGTTATCGAATCCATCAACAACGTAATTTTATTTACAATTAAGTGTAATAGTGAAATTTTAATGGTACGTCGGACTAATTCCCACTCTGTGACGGCTGGCTACCATGTCACTCACGTTCAGACATACTTGATAAATAATATCTACTCGAATCCTTCATAACTCTTATGATACGATAAGTCCATATAAGACATTGGAATAAAAGGAACGAACTGGAAGAGTTCTCAAAGGTAGAAAGTGGACTTGACTGTAATAAACTGGGCCCTTGTAAAAAGCACCAGCTGTGAACCTGCGCTGCCAAAGCCCCTCTCTCGGCACACTATATGACTAAACAAGGTGTGTTACAAAGAAATAAAAGTGAAAAGCACACCGTGACTGCTATTGACTTTATAACCCCTTTCAAAAGATCTTACTATAAATTCCATTGTTATTTTTTTCAATTATTTATAAATACATATATCATACCAACACAAACTATTACATGTTACCCTATGGCTCTGGACAAACTGAGATACCAGGAAATGAGAATATTCACTAATGTTTGGACTAGAAACAGTTTACCGGAGTTGTTTTATAAAATTATTTTCAATGGCATCTATTGTAAAATGAGGAGCTTATTTTTTTTTTAATAATTAAAACTATGTTGGCAATCTATAAAATCGTACTTTTATTAGACATGCTCACATCAGCATCGTCAAAGCAACAATTTTAGATATATTCATAATGTTTATACCCTTAATAGATTTTATTTTATTTATAATTTGATTGTAGCCTCATTTCCTGCATACCACCATTTATGTCAAATAACCCTTGATCATATTAAATATAAAAGTAGTACATTTTTTAATATTTCGGTTTTCTTCTGGAACTGAAAAAAAAAAAATATACATACAGATTAATAAATATAATGAATACGCATAAATACCCTTTCTGATGTCTCCATTCGTCTTAGAAATGCGAACAGCCAGAAGCGAAGCAATAAATTCGTGTATTATACGATCCCATACAAAGCATTAGAATACATTATATTCATATTACATTAGAATACTCTATTATCCATTTATCCACTTAACAGTTACTGTTAACTATTATTTATAAAAGGCCTTAAGAAATATTGCAGAAGTTTTAATCGCCTTTTCATGTCTCCTAATACATTTTTTTTTTTCTATTTTTATGAACATTATAACGTATTATTATCTTCGGGGAACGTTCTATCGATAGTTTCTGGTATTGTTTAAGCAACATTTCCAATTATGGCAAAATAACTCTCATAAGTTTCAATAAGGCAACATTCTAATTCTAATCAGTGGACTGCATCTTAAGGGATTGGTAGGTTACTGATAGTGCAAAAAATAGCTTACCGTCTGTATGCTAACCTACATATTTTTTACCTGGAGGGCCCTCCTCCGTGACTGTTGGTCCTTACTGGGTGAATGCTGGTCAAGAAGTGGCGCGAGACAACCAGCAGCTCACAATGCTTAAGTGTTATCTTTTAGATCTGCCCCCACCACTCGCCGTAACGCGGGAAAATTTAAACCTTCCCTACCTTCCCTGGCACAACCAGGCATTATAATGTAAACACATGAAAGTAAATTTAGTTTATTTTATCATTTAATAATAATAATAATAATAAGGCTTAGCGAACCCGAAGGTTCGATGCCGACACCACCAATCGCTTGTTACACACCTCCCTCCACCGTTCGCCGTCCAAACCCAGTCCCTTCAGATCGGCTTTAATGCAATCTTCCCACCTTCGCTTCGGTCTACCCCTCGGAGGCTTACCATTCGGCATAGCAAATATTA